TCAAATCTTTTTTATTGTACACTTTTTAGTTAGTTAGTATTTTAAGACGGTATATACCGTAGTGTTGTTACTTCAGTAAGGGGATTAATATCGCGGGAATTATTAAGTACCTTGCAGTGGTCTAAAAGATTGATTTATTAAGACATATAGAGACTTTAGAGCGGGGTCAAGGCTACAGATGGGCCTCAATTTTCGCAAAAATGTGTTAAGTTAAATGAAGTCGTTACATAAATATCTAATGTATGTAAATTTTATAGTAAACTAGCACTTATTAAAAAGGCATGTTTTGTTTATGTTTTTTTAGTAATTTAGCAGTAAATATTAAATTCATTTACTTTTATTCGTCGACTATTTAAAATTGGCAGTGGCTGCATTGTCATGTCAACGTCCGGCTCTAAGATAGTGATATACACAAATGCAGTGTCATATCCTAGTCTCATAATTTGATATACCTACATAATTCACAGAAACCCAATATGTAGATGCCAGAAGTTAACTTCAAATGTTGTTAATCACCCTATATACAATACCAATCAATGACGTTTATGTCGCATATTGCAAATAGTACAATCATGGCAATTATTTTCCAAATATTTTTTTTGTATAAAAAAATACCGAATAACGTAAATATGTAGCTAAGTAACTTTTACAAATATAATCAAAGAAACCTATTACTTACTTCATGTTTATTTTTTTATCTATTAAATACTATTATCCTAACTATCTATACTAATATTATAAAGAAGCAAGATTTGTATGTTTGTAACAAATAATCTCTCAAACTATTTGAAACCAGTTCATGGTTTCAAATATAATTTCATCATAAGGTAGCTACATTATTTATTATTACATTTTTCTTTATTTAAATACATTTTGTCCGAGTGACATAGGCTATATTTTATCTCGATAAAATAAATTCCGCCCGTACAATGCCCGGGTGGATCTCTAGTAAGTATAATATAATATTATAGATGCGAAAGTGAGTTTGTTTGTTGCGCTTCCGTGCCCTAATAGCTCAATCGATTATAATGATTTCCCATATAGAAGTAGATGGGAACTTGGTTCTTAGCTACAACATCGCAATACTTATAGGCGTAGGGTGATGAAAGGGGTGATTTACCTATAAAAATCTATATTATTTACTTTGCATTTTGCAGAATTATCGTTTATAATTACAAAACCAATATTATCGCAAGCTGATTAATAAATACAGGGATTCCAATAAATATGAACCTACAAGCTAAAAATGGGTTATTTGTCATTATATTAAGAAAACCTTTATTGTAACAATAAGTAATATCGTTAAAAACATAAAAACTGTATAATCCTGAGTTTTTCATTAGAATTCAATAATCATAAATACCTACTATGATAATTTATTTATCATCATTTAATAAGAAGTAACTGTATCACAGTTTTATTGTAAGTACCTATTTTAGCGGTAATGGCTTACACATTAAAAATAGATATATGGTGTCACGGATTTTTTTAGAACTATTTAAGAGATATATTTTCACTCTACATTACATTCATGTAACTTTTATTGTTTTTGTAGTGCAGGCCAAAATGGCTCGCAGATGGGAGATTTTTTCCGTCTTATGTGACACTTATTGTTATAATTTGGCAAATTCACATAAAACTACATAAATTATTATATATATGTTATTATCATATATGAGCTATATTACTGTTAAGTTTCATTAAAAACCATTCAGTATTTTTTATAGAAAGTATGATTTGGGTATTTTATATTTGTTTCTTAGGTTTTCACGCACATCATTCATTAAATAAAACAAGTTTTAACGGTATAGATGCATTGAATTATTTATTTATTGACGTTTCGCATATGCGCCATAATGATTTTGTTTACTTTGTCGAGCTACCTTCCAAAGGCTTTTTTTGAGAGTTCGGATATTTCATTGGAAGATTTGACAATGAAAAGTAAATACACACCGTAGTAAACATATTGAACATACATAAACCATAAATGACTAAGCCCGCACAGAAGCAATATTAAATAAAAGATGTCTACTCCGCAAATATTCGTCTACTTATGGTTTGTTGTATTTGAGATTTTTCACACACTTCACATTACCCAGGAATTAGGATAACGTATAACGCTTTTTAATGGCAACACTTCTAATGTTTTTAAATCCCTCCTCAAATTTATATCGACTTATTAAAAGTATTGGTTTCCAAGTTAACTTTCATGTGAAATGTAATATGAATTGACCGTATATTTACACTTAAATAACAAAATCTCAAAAATTACATGATTACTAAAATACTCATTCCAAATAACTTTAACCTACAGGTTATATTTATTTATATCACATTGCTCATGTACATTATTTATTATAAGGTCTTACATATACTTAATAGTGAGTGGTACATGACCTCGTTGGGGTGTTGCAACAAACTTGAGCTTAACATTAAATACATTATTTTCACTTAATTGTTGATCATATTAAATCACATCAGCTCCATATATATTGGAGTTTAATTTTTAAACCCTTTTACTACGCAATTTACGACATGTTTGCTTCAAAAGATTACTACTTTTGAATATTGTTTCACTCGACACGCCGCCATTGCTTTTTGGCTTAGTTACGTTGTATCTGTGTGCGTGTAAGTGCCTTTTCACATGTACACGGACACGGCACGGTTGCCGTGCCGTGTAAAATAGTAATGTATGAGCAACAATGAGAGCTTTCACATTGCACGGCGACCGTGCCGTGACCGCGTGTCATTGTGTACGTACACGGCACGGCACGGCCGTTTTAAGCCGTGCCATATTTATGTTCGTAGCACTCCATCTATACTTTTTTATATGATTTGAGACTAAAATAATCAAAAGTGACAGTTACACGCCATTTACACCTCGTTAGAAAGTATCATCATCATCATCATCAGCCTATTAATGTCCCCACTGCTGGGGCACAGACCTTCCTGATGGATAAACTCCAACGACCGCAGCCGAACGCACTGGCGCCATCGAGCTCCTCGTAAAAGTATCATATTCGTAAGTAATTGTAATAGACAAAAGTAACAATAAATCAACAGTGGTGTGGAGTCTCCGATGGAGCTGGACACCTGGCCCTACGCAGTGTTCGGGGAGAACGTGTCCCCTTACCCATTCAGGGGACGAAGTTTTTATTGGTCGTGTGGATGCTCGCATTATACGGTTGCGCTTGATATATCAAAAACAACATCGCGTTTTCACTGCATCTTGTGCATGTTAGATAATTGTTACTGTTTATAATCGAGCAACAAGCAGCAAGCATCAATTTTCGTGTTATATATTAACTATTACTAAGCAATTAGGGTTAATCAATAATAGCTCCAGCCCTCTTAGCATGAGCATCGCGATATAATATATAACGCTTAATTCTCAAATCACTATAGTGTTCAACAGTTAGACGCTATAAAAACGTGATATAACGTATAATGCGATTCAAATAAGAATAGGAAAGCCAATGACCTCTATCTGTGAAATGTCGCTTGAAAAATACGGTTTGCAAAAAAAAACTTGGAACCCTTTTTTAGCACTCCGCTAATTCAAGAATAAAAACCAAACATTTGTAAACAAACAATAACAAATATTGATTATTAATATCGGTTGATTTTTTTTTTCACTTATTGAGATTTGGCCATGAATGGTTGATAAACTAAGACTCAGAAACTCGATTTCAAACTTTGGTTTACATAAAGGATACATGTTCTTATGTGACCCAGTCATAGTGCATGATTATTCATAACTACACCGGCGGCGGTAATGCAGAGATGAGCGGAATAGAAGAGCTAGATTCTGATTATTTATTTATTCTTTATTGCATGCCACAGATTAATGTTTTTTTTACAGTCATAATAAATAAATATTATTAAAAATCGGTAGTTTTTTTTCTCAATCTTGGTAAACAAATGTTATTAAAAAAATCTGATGCTTTTTCTCACTTAATCTTAGTAAATAAGTTTTATTAAATAAAAACTTTTTTTGCTCACTCTACCTATTTGGTTTGAATTGACAGCTATGACATCACAATATGGCACCCAGTCGGTCCTATTCTTAGTTGAATCGTATTATAAATTGTAGTGCTCATGCTAGGGGGGGCTGGTCAAAATCGCCTCCTTGGTTGATTCTGATCAGCACAAACAACTCGTGTTGAAAACTTCGTGAGAAAAACGTCTTAACCGCCGTGTAAAGGGTGTCGTTTACGCGTAATCACAATACACTTATGTCGGATTAGTATCAGCTGTAACTGTCGATAAACACTTGATTTTTATTAAATTATTAAGTAGTTTTATAAAATATCTTATAATAATTGACACTGGTGAAGTGAATAACAATCACAAACAACACCATGGGGAAACCAAACTTAAAATAACTTTAACGCAACGAAATATGGAAAAAAACTGAAGAGCTAAATATTGTTTCTAAATAATAAATTTTGTTTTAATCTAAGTTTGATACACATTTATAAAAGCATTTTGGTTGACAGCCCTACTCTAACAAAAATTAGCACTTTAAAGTTCAATATTTCGCCCTAAGTAATTTCAAAGGATCTATTCAATGATACCCCACACGATGGGGTAGACAATGAAAAAAAGTCATCCCCAGGTTACATGTTGGAGCTACCCTAAAAACATATTTTTCAAAATTTTATTCTATCATTTTGTCGGCGTGATTGATATACAAAACTTCAGCTCTCTAGTGCCAACAGTCACCAAGAAAAACCGGGAACGGGCAGACAGACGGAAATGACGAAACTATAAGGGTTCCTTCGTCCCTTGTCAGGACTACGGTACCCTAAAAATAGGATAAAATATTTTTTTAATATTTTGTAAAACGATTGACAATAAATTCAATGCACTACTTACATCTCATAGAAATTTGGAGTATGCAAAGACCCACTTCCATTCTCCATACAAATTTGAACTGCCTCCTTTCAAAGTCATGATCAGAAAGTAACAGTCCAATGGAAACTATAATATTTATAAGAAATAATGCATCAACAGTGGGGTGGAGTCCCCGATGCAGCTGTGGTACATGACGACGGTGCGCTTTTTTTTTCACTACCTGGACACCTGGCCCTACGCAATGTTCGACGAGAAGGTGCCCGCCTACCCATTCAGGGGCCGCAAGTTTTTATTTGTTATGTGGACGCTCACATTTTACGTTTGCGCTTGGTTTCTCATAACCAGCATTGGGGTAGTTGGTTTCATCGAACTTGCACAGTGCTACATCACAATATTCCTGAACTGCGTCGGTACGGTGAGTGTTTTATTTTCTTATGCGATTTTTGTGGATTTAATACAACAAAATACTAATACATATTGCCTGCATTATCCGAAAAATTTGAACATCTGATGAGTTTCCTAAAAGCTTTATCCACACTGGCAGGTGAATGATTCAGTTTCAGACCGGGAAAGTCCACAGCTGATGTAGTTTATGAATTTGCTAATCATGTAGCAGGAAAAATAGACGTTAATATAAATATCGTATCTATTGATCTAGGGAAAGCTTTATAAACTAGAAACATAGGTTTAAAGATGAAAACCAAACCTTTTTTGCAGAAACCTCTAACATCGCATGTAAATGTTGTAAATAATAGTGATTGCCACGAAGAGAACGATGCGCTGCAAGACAGAATTCCGCTGACAAAATCGCGATCTTGTCTATTGATTCCTTCTGTTATGTCCAACAAGTTGACCTAGATTTGGTGTCCTATTGACTCCAAGACAATCTTCTGACATTTTAACTTAAGAAGATATCTGTTAATTCAATTAACCAACTATCATTAACAGCTCATCTCAATCCAAATTGCTTTACCACGTCAGCTCCATTTTCTCCCTTAACTTTATTAAAATCAGTCAAATACGATTAAACTTCCATTCGCGCATTCATTTCACATATGTGCTTGTTTTTGCATTTCAGTATCGTGCTACTGTAACGTGGAGGCCAAAGTTCCAGCAACTATTGAAACAGTTTGTTACTGAACTTCATCTATTACTCCACCAACACAAATCTAAATATTACAAGGAGGTACTTATTCGAAAAATGTTGAACCTATAACATTATTTCTATCGCTACTGACTTTTGAGCTTATTCACTCCATTATGTTCCATGTTTATTTTTTTTAATTTAGTTTTCTTTTCTTTAGATTTAGACTTAAGCTATCTTAGAAAACTATGGTACTAGTTAAAAATACGAGAAGCTTTAGAAGATTTATATTTATTGCCAACCAAGGTATACTGTAACATTTTTATGAATAAAATTCTATTCTATTCTATTTTGTTACAGATAAGTGATCGCGTCCATTCAATTTGCTTGCTATGTACAAGGATGCTAGTCGTAGAAATAATTATGGCCGTATTAATGTTTAATATCCCACCGATAGTGAATAATTACAGGGCCGGGATGTTGAGCACCACCCGGCCCGTTAACGGAACATTTGAACCTACTTTCAATTTAGCGTTTCCTTATGTCGATACTGAGTCTAAGTCATTGTCCGATTACATCCCAATGACGATCGTACAAGTTTATTTGACTGTTGACTGTACCGTTTGCCTTCTCATATTCGATTGCTTATCATCGCTAATCTTGTTTCATGTGTGGGGTCATATTAAAATATTGATTTACAACTTGAATAATGTTCCTGTTCCCAAGACAAGCAGTCAGTTCGAATTGAACGAAGACCCTCTATTTTATAGCTCAGAGGAAGACATAATGATTAAAAATATACTAAAAGAAAATATAGAACACCATATAATGATCAATCAGTAAGTTATTTGATAAAATATAATTAAAACTAGTGTGCGCCCTCGCTTTGCTTCGGTGTAGAGCTGTAGTGTAGACTATAGTTTTTGTTCAAAGTATTATACACAATGACTTTCTTCATAATAATTATAAACCTTCCATTAAAAGTAAAAACTTCGCTGCGTAGTTTAGGACCCGTTGTACCGAATGCAACATTTCCCTGCTGTTCCGATTTGGAAAATTCTTTTTGTATTGGATAGTTTGTATTTGTTTATATATGTCGTGGTCATATCGTAGATTTGCTCACTTCATGAAATGCTAGAGAATTTCATGAAATGTTTCACTATGTATTGGCCACATCATGATGTAGTTTGGGCAGATCAATGATGAGAAATCGTTTCACGATATGGCCAACTAACCGCGCGGCTTCTTCATGAAGTGGCAAAAATAATTTGATCATATTGTAAAGTAGTTAAATTAATTACCGGTAGAGGCGAAGCAAGCGCTTTCTTTATATATGTATATATGGCGGCCGATGCCGACAATGTTGTTTCTCGCAGTGAAAACGGCAACAATTTGTTATTAAATCATGAAGAAAGTGATAACAAAAGGATTTTCGACGAAAAGGTTCTCGAGTACTATGCAAGCCAAGAAAAAAAAAAAAAACTTTATGCCAGCTAACGTATAGTGTTTCTATTTAATTGATATTATTCTACGTTTATGAATTATGACATAATAAAGGCAATGTTTTTTGTTCTCTTTTAGGTTATGAAGCAAATTAAGGAGGTTAGGATGACTACGCAAAAGAAATCCATAGACTATTACTGGCTGTCAAAATATGACCTTTTTTAAACTGCGGATGAGGCACAAAGTGCGTATGAGAATCAATGCCGTACAAAGAGATACTTACGCATGTTTCAAGAACAAAACACTTTGTACTTTAAAGTGTCACCAAAGTTTGTCATGCGCCAATAAATGACTGGGTAAAATTGTACTTCCAGGGCCCAAGAGGTGATACTTGATTTTTTTTATAGAAATGGTCTCTTTTATTAATATTTACCAACATTCTTATTTCTAAGTATTTGTTAGTTTTCTAAATATAAATGTGTAACTTCTTGACATGTTTGATGTTTAATTTAAAAAAAAAAATTTAATTTGTTTATTTTGATACAAAAATTTAATTAAATTTGTTTGTATCATTCGGACTCAAATGATAATGAACAAGTTCCTAACATATTCTGGATTTTTATTAAATATTTTATGGACACCCTAATTATACGATCCGGCCAAACGTGGATGACAAAATCGTTAAACGTTGACCATTTAATGATCTGGTCAAATTAAATAAAACTAGTTTTTACGGGTTAATGCACGAAACTTTTGTCGAGCTACCTTCGAAAGAACAAACCTTCGACAAATTAAATAAAAGTTTTATTCTGACGACGAAGCCTGTAAAGGCTACGAAACGTCAATAAATAAATAAAGTTTCGTGCATTAACACGTAAAAACTAGTTTTATTTAATGAGTGATGTGCGTGAAAACCTAAGAAACAAATATGGTCAAATTAAGTTGCCCACATCGTGAAATGCGACCATGTCATGAAGTGAGCAAATCTACGATATAGCCACGACATATATATATATATATTTGAGGAAAGCTATATATTACCAGGGTTACGACCAGTAACAGCGGAGCATCGATGAAAAATGTTGCAAAAACGGTTAAAAATATTCCATTTGTGAGATTCCGCTGCATGCGCTTAGTAAACGGTTAAATTTACATAAAATCAAGTATGACGGAATTCTTTCCCTTTAAAAGTTCTGTAAAAAACTTCACGACAGCCTATGTCCATATTTTAAGTTTGACTCACTTTAACCTTTTTCTCCAAATTAACGCGGGTGAAACCGCAGGGGACCTCTAGTTGTGACATAACTGTAATAGTTGGACATATGGTATCACGGATTTATTTGTAGAAATTGGTATCCTATATTAAACTTTGCTCTATTATCAATGACTTCCGCAGCGTACGCGAAGGCTATTTTTTGGTATTTTTTACACACGTTGGGTTACATTATCGAATTTTTTATACGAAACCCTAACTTTTTCGAAAATACACTAATTATTTAGCCTATTTTAATCAGTGATAATGTATCATTCAAACGGTGAAAGAATTTTTAAAATCGGTCCAGTACTTTTTGAGCCAATTCGCTACAAACATACATACAAATCTTTTTCCTTTATAATATTATATTATTAAGTAGCTGAGCCAGCGAACTTCGTACCGACATAATGATATGGGCGGTAGAAGGGTGAAAATTTAGGTTTGTATGTATTTTTGTGTGATCTATCATAAAAAAAATGAAAAGAAATTGTCCAAAAAAAAAATTTAAGGGTGGACGGACATCCTTAACATTTAGGGGGATGAAAAATAAATGTTGTCCGATTCACTATTGAATATGCATATAAAATTTTACGAAAATCGGTCGAAAATTATAATAATAGAACTGTTTTGCATTACAACAAAACAGATATTATATCTATATATATATAAAACTCAAAGGTGACTGGCATAGTGATCTATCAATGCACAGCCCAAACCACTGGACGGATCGGGCTGAAATTTGGCATGCAGGTAGATGTTATGATGTAGGCATCCGCTAAGGCATTTTATCCCCTTGGGGGTAGAATTAACCAAAATCCTGATCAATTCTACCCCCAAGGGGATAAAATAGGGAATGAAAGTTTGTCAATTTTAAACCGATCGGGCTGAGACTTTGCATGCAGGTATAAGAAGAATCATAGATGAATGTCATTGTGTATAATACATGCCTGAGAACAAAAACTGTAGTCTACAGTTCAGTTCTACACCGAAGCGAAGCGAGAGCGGGCCGCTAGTGTTGAATAAAACACACAGCGTTAGTGAAGAAGCAATCTTATAACTTGGTGTAGTCTATGGTAACTTTCACAGTAAATATAGAGTTTTACTTACAGTTTGCGCTCCAAACTCACCAGCGACGCCACCATCCTTCCTTGGTAAGGCGTTGACAGCTTTTCAAATTCATAGGCGTCTTTACTCACCAGCAAGAACCTTGCTGCAACGCTGTGCGTTTTATTCAAAAAATAATATCTGTTTTGTTGTAATACAAAACAGTTCTATTATATGATCTCTTAAAACACACAGCGTTAGTGAAGACCTGTTTGTTATCTGTTGGTGAGAAGTAATTGATAAGTAATATAAAACGCTATATGAATTATTTAGAAAGGCTTAACATTATTTGACGACTCGGCCAAGGAGGGCCGAGTGGTTTGAACGCCGGGTTTCATGGTGTCGCCGACTCAAGAGGTCCCGGGTTCGAATACCAGTGGGGACAGATGTTTGTGTGATGAATACGAGCATTTGTTCTCCAGTCGTGGATGTTTAATATGTATTTCTATATAAATATACTTATATATGTACAGTATATGTATTCTATCCGTTACCCTAGTATCCCATAACACAAGCCTTATAGTGCTTAGCTTGGGGCTAGGCTAATTGTTGTGAGTGTTGGAAATATTTATTTATTATACCTAGTGCATCCACTTTTTTAATTAATCATATTTATCTAGCAAATTAAACGTCAATATATGATAAAAAACAAGAATTAAATTAATTTGAGCTGTAGTACAGGTTCGGCGCGTGCTAGGCGTACGCGTACCCCTCGTCAAATACAGGAACATTTCTTGAGCCTGACACGCTCCGAATCGCAACCTGTCTACAGCTTAGGGTCCCGGTCTGCGCTCCTCATAAATGTCCCTGTGGCAGTGATGTCGACAAGCTAGGACATCACGGACTGTCATGCCAAAAAAGTGCAGGCCGTTTGTCGAGATATGCCTCACTCAATGATATCATACGCCGGTCCCTTGCCACTGTCAACGTGCCAAGTCTACTTGAGCCGACTGTTATTGCAAGAGACGATGGCAAGAGATCGGACGGTATGAGTTTGATTCCATGGAAGATGGGTCGGGTGCTGGTATGGGATGAAACCTGTTCAGACGCGCTGGCCCCAGCCCATCTACATGGAACCAACAACATAGCTGGTGCGGCTTGTGAAGCGGCTGAAAAACCAAAAGCAAGCTAATAAAGGGGTCTAGGCTCCGAATATGATTTTGTCCCATTCGGTGTAGAGACCCTTGGTCCGTGGGTTCCTAGCGCTTTAATGCTTTTTCAGGAAATAGCAAAAGGTTAGTCGACATCACAGGAGACCGAAGAGCTGGCAGCTACCTCGGACAAAGAGATAATTGGATCCTGGTGAATCTGTTTGTAAATGTATCTGTGTAACTTACGTAATTCTTCTGTATCCCATATCAGAGACCTATTTCTGTTTATTTTTTTGTTGAGGTACAGCCTGCAACTTAGCTTATTCTTTGCATTTATTTAGTAAATAAAAGTGTTTGGTATACTATTCATCAAACAATTATCACAAAGACAGCAGACTTGTATTGCCCAAAATGAACATTTTGCTTAGAAATATATTACTACAGAAAACAGCATCAGTGCTACATCATAGAGTAACACCCTGATATCCATCTATTGATGGGACTTATAGGTTGACAAGATGAAAGAGCATCAGTTGCTATCTTATAAATTTTACTCACCTTTACTTTAAATAGCTATTTGGTCACCTCCCAAGTGGCCAAGCTTGGGAGGCACACTCTTTTTCACCTGTGCATGTGGTCTTATATAAAGGAACCATCCGGAGGTCCTGTCTTAGTTGTGGCAAGGCTCGGCTCCAAATGTCTGGTAGCCAAAAGAAAAGCACTGGGTCCACAATGGTGCTATCGGAATGGACCCCTTACAGTGTTCCAACACTGTGATACTACATACCTGAACTGTTTTTTATTTTTATTGGCTTTACATTAACGTTTAGCAGGATTTAAAATAATAATTATCATGAATGCATTGTCAAAAATTGCTGACCCATCGCAAGAACCTGTACTGTGGTGCTCTAGATGTGAATAGTTTAACACTGCGGGCTAAATTATGTAACTTTTTCGACTTACCTATTGCTTACAATTTCACAGTCATAAAAGAGATCAGCTGGCACATTAACTATTTCTGAATTCCTGTAGCTTTCCAGACAGCGAAAGAGACAACAGAGTAAGACAATTAGCCTAGGGTTCCTCGCTTTCTTTGAATATGGCCTCCGCGGCCGGGGGTAAAGATGTTAGATTTGAGTAATGCACGGCCCCTTCACCAGGCGATCTAAAATTTGTTAAGCCTCCCCGAGAGGTAACTAGCCGACATTATTAGATTAAACTGCTCGGTTAGCTCCCAAAAGTCTGGTTTCTAAATTCAACAGTACTATGGAGAGAATGGAGTGTTCAGATATGGGACTGAATTAGTTTATGTGCCTTTGACAACCTTGCTTACTAGCAAGCATGCCAGCGAAACCTTCCTTGTCTTCCGCAGACGAGGAAAGGTTTAAGCTTTAATTTCCTTCTGCTTTCCCTTCGGAGTAGCATATTTTATAATAGAAAAACTTAACACGTTTGATGTTCATATTTTGCACCAACTAATACATATTGCATTCACCTCATTACACGAAACATCAAACGGTAACTTTTATTTTTTAATTCTGCTGTTTTTTTATACGAAAAACTCAAATACTTCACTTTTTAAACTATTTTTTTCATTCACTGCACGTTACCGTGCCAAATTATAAAACGCTATGAATTTGAAAAACTGTCAACGCCTTACCAAGGAAGGATGGTGGCGCAGCTGGTGAGTTTGGAGCGCAAACTGTAAGTAAAACTCTATATTCACTGTGAAAGTTACCATAGACTACACCAAGTTATAAGATTGCTTCTTCACTAACGCTGTGTTTTTTAAGAGATCATATAATATTTATGATTATGTATTGCATATGTCCTTCAGATTCCTGGACAAGTACTCGTTGACTTTCGGTTCCTCGTATTGTGCGCTCTACTTGTTCCATCAAGTCAGTCTCTGCATTTTACTATTCGCGTGCTCGGAATTGGTTTGTTTAATATTTGGATTTATTACGTCTATGAATAATATTAGTGCACATGCTTTAAAATTTATGTCAATATTACCCAATTCAAAAGTTGATCATACGTTAAACTCATGTAGTACAATTACATTACAAATAATTAAATTTTTACTTAGTTTAGTTACTGGAGACAAAAGAAAACAATTCTCTAAATCTAAATGATAGAAATGTCTGTAAAAGGTCTGTAACATCATTATTTAATTTTCAGGATGCCTCTTCTCTGTCTAAGTATGGATGTATCACTTTCATAGTATTGCAACAGTTGATACAAATGTCCGTCGTAGTGGAACTCGTGACATCTGAGGTGTGCTTTTATTTGTGTTGTGTAAAAGTTATCAATGTATCAAGTTACCACACGGTGTCCAATTTTCATAAGTAGAGCAGTAATATGGGAAGCACAGAATAAGTTGAAGGGATTTGAGAGTTCTGGATAACTTAATCTGTCACGGACTCAGGATTTGTTATTATCTACTGAAATGCAGTTATTACAATTAAGGCTAAGGTAAAAAAGTACAAGAAACCCTGTTTGCCATTCCATGTCAGTAATATGAACCTATTCTTATGAGCCCACGGGAGCAGCTCGCGAAATACACACATCAAAAGTGTCTAGGGATCAACATATATTTTTGCAATAACTTTTCTCCTGATTGATATTAATTAAAATTTTCTTTAAGGATTCATCAAATAAAGTGTTTTCGTTTGTCACAGTAACGATATACCAAGTCACCTTTGCATTAATAAAGAAATTTGCCATTTTCCTAATAAAGGGATTTTTGACATTTGAACCACTAACACAAAAGTTCGAAAAAAAGACTGAAATAACAGTTTTCTCTAAAATTTTATTGGGTAACTTAAACAATTAATAATCCGTATTTCTACCGCGAACACTAACAACACAAGAACATCGGTTTGGCATACTCAAAATGAGTTCATCCAAATCACGCTGTGGAATGGCCGCCCATGTTCGTTGCAACAACAAAAAAAGGTCTTCTTGCGACTGGATACCCTCCATATTCGGCAGAGCTCTTCTCTGTAGCATATCCCATGCATGCTCAATCGGGTTCAAGTCTGGCGACTGAGCAGGCCAGGGCAGGACATTGATGTTAGCTGCGGCGAGAGTCTGTCTTACAACTCTTGCGGTGTGCGGTCGTGCATTATCATGCATTAACTTGAATAAGGGACCGATTTGCACTTGTAGAGGAACGATGACGTCTGATACAATCGTCTCAGCATAAATTTGAGCGTTGAGGTTGCCTCTGATCCAAATCAACTCAGTTCTTCCGCCGATCCAAATACCCGCCCATACCATGATGGTTCCACCACTATAAGGATGGACTTCCTGGCAGGATTTTAATCGCTGTTGGCGTCCAGGGGTTCTCCAGTGTCGTATACGTCTTGTATCCGGTCTCATACCAAAACGAGACTCATCAGAAAAGCACACGAAACGCCATTGTTCTTCTGCCCAATTTCTGTGTTCAAGAGCCCATTGATATCGAATCCTACGATTGTGCATTGCTATAGGTGGTACCCGTAGCGGTCTTCGGGAATGAAGGTTCACTTCATGCAAGCGGTTTCTGACTGTTTGGTCGCTAATTAAGTTCCCTGAAGAGTGATGAAGCCTCACGGCTAACATCATGGCGGTTATTGTTGGAGCTCTTCGAGTTAAGATTTGAATGTATCGGTCTTGTCTCCGTGTGGTGCAGCGATACCGTCCTCCATGGCGCTCAGGCACGGTACCAGTGCTTCGGTATCGTGTCCAAAGTCGACTGATAACACTCTGACTTGTATTCAGAGCTAAAGCCACAGTACGTTGCCGGGAACCAGCTTCTATCATTCCCACGGCTCTGAGCATTTCTTCCCTGCTTAAATGACGTCGCCGCTCCATAATAACGTTGGTTTTAATCAGTAGTAGGGAAACAGTAGCACTAATAATGTCTTCAATGCGTTGTATGTTTTTATAGGGAAAATATTGACAGCTGATTTTCATCTTTTACTCGAATTTGATTCACAGATTCAAATTATGAAATGCACCAAAAAGGATCCATATAAATTTATAAAATCATAAATTTATTACAAAGCCACATCTCAATCTCAAGAAATCCGCATAAAAATGCTTGATCCCTAGACACTTTTGATGTGTGTATTTAATGCTGTAGTATCAAGGATGCGGAACGAAAGACACCAAAGTAAGTGTGTAGTAAAATTTGAAAAAATCTGGTCTGTGAAAGTAGTCCAGACACATTTCAGATTTCTATATGCTATAGCAAAACACATTATCATAGATTACATCAGCTTGAATACAACAAAAACCGCATCCAAATCAATTCTGATCAGACGGCATACACAGATAGACACACGTTAAGCTATGAGACTCTTTATTTTTGACCGTTGTTAAAGAGAATATTGTTATTAGGCCCAGAAGGTGATGAACGCTGTGTACAGCGTTCCATGGGAGAGGATGTCCGCCAGCAACAGGAAGATGGTGGCTGTGTTCCTGCTCAACGCGCAAAATCCGATGCAATTCAAGGCCATGGGCATGGTGCCCGTTGGAGTGCAAACAATGGCTGCTGTGAGTTGTATTGCATAGTCATATTGATTTATTTCTATATCATTAGGAATTTTACATGTAAAAGAACCATTGCGGTGGATGTCAGAACGGCTTAGTGGTGAACTTAATGGGTCAGTATTTGTGTGAGCTTTGTTGGTCTATGGTCTCTCAGAAAGACATTTTCTCAAACAAAATCAACGCAGCCCCGGTATCTATCTAAATAAGTCGCAGCTTCATACGAAAGGAAAATTGATAATTCTATGAAGATCACGGTAGTGCGTTCACCTGCATAGTTCGGAACCTGGTTCTATTCCGCCTTATACTCTTGTTTAGGTCGTATTGTATTTATAGTTAATGTTTCGTTTAGTTTATTTTCTGTGAAATATTCAATGACTACCTGTGACTGTTCATGAGAGCCCGTTGATGGACGGAAGGAAAGCAGCAGCGAAGCAATAGAATCACATCCTCATGGGTACATGTACTCATGAGTAGTATGGGAAAAAAAGTATCGTACTTGTAAAAGTATTGAAACAAAAGTATCGATACTTCGAAGTATCGAGTACATTTCATGGGGCCTTATGAGCACCCCCCCCCCCCCGGTTTAAAATTAAAAATGTTAAAACTAAACGTGCGTAATTCAAGTACGTAAGTCTCAGGACACACTAGATTGCTTGTGCTTCCAATTATATGAACGTAATGGCATGTTTTAGAAAGTTTGCTTTGATTCCACTAGATGGCGTTGCCATCAATATAAGGCGCAAAGGTATCGATACTTACCAAAAAGTACTCATTTAGTTGAAGTATCGAAAACCAGGTCTCGAGTACAAAAGTACCGCTATCGAAAGGAAAAGTATCGATACTTTTTTCGTGTCCCTACTCATGGGGTTATCAACCCCTTTAAAATACTTACTTACTGAGCCTTCAGAAGGTATTGCTTTTAAGTTTGGCTGTAAGTATCGCACGACGTCCAACAGACTTCCCTGCCGCTTCCGGGTCAGTATCACGACAAAATGAAATAATTCAAAATATATCACAATAGTTCCGCCAAAGAGTATATACTTTGATAATCATTGTGTGTGTGTGTGTGTGTGTTTGCCAAACTGGTGGTGTGTGTATTTTTATTTAATAATGAAATTTATTTATAATGCAAAAATATCAAGGTTCTGCAATTTTTCTTTATAAACTTTAATTAATATGCAAATATCTCACAGTGCTCCGAGCGCGAAGTGAGCTTAAATGGGGTATTAAATTTTTACCTTCATGTGCTAATGTAAGTAATGATTATGGCGTTCATTTTCACAGATCCTAAAGACATCGTTTTCCTACTTCATGCTGCTTCGTACTTTCGCCGTGGAAAACGAACAGCAGTACGATTAATGAGGGCTATCGCGTCTGAAACCGCCGCTAGAGGCGCTTGTGTTGCGTGAGGTCTCCGAAATGTCAAATGTTATAGCTTGCGGGTTGACTACGCGGTTTTTTTCTAATTAAAATAATAGTTGTGAATATTTGGTAATAAATCAGACGTATTATGGCAAATATGAGTTACGTGTCAATGATTGTCAGTTATTTAAAAGCGGAGCTAAGAAAAAATATTGTCCTTCTTTTTTCCGAACAAAACGGGACTGTGCAACATTGTGGCATGGGCGATTATGTTTACAATACGATTCTTTTGTATTAAAATATGATTTAAATGTAAACTTTGATATCACGAGCGTGTTTACTAACTTTAAAAGCTACATTTCAGGACCTCACTCAACAGTGGCGCCATCTGGTGAGACAAAAAACGATAGCCACCATTGTATCAGACCAGATACACTTACTGTGACACTTCAGCTTAGAGTAGTTTTGTCTTTGACATAGCCATACCTACTAGCGAATAGTAAGTTATTTCTCATTATGTTTTAACAACACTAGTAACAGAAACTGACATCGCTGAAATAAACTTTATAAGAAGTAAAATTCGGAGTTTTATTTAAAATTTTAATAATTATAAATTTTATTATCTAATCATTTTAAACATTTAATATCTAAGTAGGAGCATCTCAAAAATAATATGTTGTAGGATGTACGTAAATACAAGTCAAAAAATAAAGAATGTTTCTGAGAGAATTCGTTAGTGTTAATAACCATTTAATTTTTCAATAATAAATTGTATTATATTATATTAATTCTTCAATCTTTGTGCTCAGGGGGGCCGCTGCTGTCGTTTATCAAGCTGGTGCTGATATCAAATAATTACTCTTTCTATTCTATTCTATATATATATTATACTCCTTCCTGTGATAAAACTGTCTATTAGCAATCCATTGATGATCTGCGCAACATTGCTTGGAAATTACGATCCTTAGGTTACAAAAGTAAGAGCAACAATCGGACCGAAATTTGTCTTTGATTGGTTAAAGTTTAAACCTTATTACAGTAGAAAAAAAGTAAAATAATTTATGAATATTCTCATACGACCAGGTAAAGAAAAAGCTTGCTAAATTCTTCCTGTTACGATATTGAAATAAATAAATAAATTTTTATTATAAAAATATGGGAAAAAGCTGTAGCTTAATCAATAGAAAAAAGATAAATTTAAAAAATCAAAATAACTGACTGCTTAAATATTACTTCAAATAAAAAGTGAAAAAAAAAACAAGTCCAGTCTATAATTCTGTTAAGTAAGGAACAAAGCTACTTTACAGTTGGGACCCATTAGACATTCAAGAATGGATCAATTTTATTAATAATGGGTCCCGACTGTTAAAGTTACTTTGTTCCTTACCTAACAGAATTATAGACTCCTGACAACTTTTTTTCTTTTTAGTTTTTATTTGAAGTAATATTTTAGCAGTATATAAAAATAATATATATATATAACTAAAATTCTGAGTTTTTCATAAAATTTTAATAATCATAAATACCCTATTATGATAATTTATTTTTCATCATTTAATAAGAGGTCTTTATCACAGTTTTATTATAAGTACTTCGTATAGGATTAGATACTGCGAGTGTCCATTTTTTCGGTCTAGTACCCATTGGACCCTCAAGATTCGACCCAAAAGCAAAAAGTGCCCATTGGACCTCTTTTTTGGTGTCCATTGGACCTTCTTAAAACATTTTTATTTTATTTTATTTTATTTTATTTTATTTTATTTTGTAAGGAATAACAAACAGTTGTACAATTTGTGTTACATAAAGATTTACAGAATTTTTATTACTAATTATACAACCAGCAACGTTATCCACAGATTACTATTAAAGAGTAATGTGCTATGCTATACACTAATATCTTTGTGAGATGTGAGTAGTTACTGGCAAAGAATCACAAAAATGAAAACTACAAAAAAAAAGGATAAATATCAAATACCTGAGGAGTTCAAGAACTTGGTGTGACAATTAGTTCATAAATGTTAGTCCTGAAGGAGGTCGTCGGGGCTGAGAAAATATCAATTTCGTGGGAACTCATGTGTTCATTAAAAGTGTTCATGATCCTATTCAGTGGGGCACGGAGACCCGCGTTAGTATTGACATTATCGGGACAAAACGGTTTGTACGGGTACATTTCGCGGATGCGCTGAGAACCACTGGGTATTCTGATCTTGACATCGCAGGTTAAAACATTACAATCATATTTATTGTGTAAGATATTATGTAAGCAAGAGATGTCAAAAAGAGTTCTCCGCTGCTCCAGACGTGGTATTGAAAATTTTTGTAATAGATTATCATAAGATAATTTACATCGACAACATTTATAACTTACGCGCTTGAGAAATTTGCGCTGTACTGACTCTAGATTGTTTTTGTATTTGGTGTAAAATGGATTCCAGATAACAGTAGCATATTCAAGCTGTGATCTAACTAGTGCCTTGTAAAGATGCAGAAAGGAGTCTGATTTTTTGAATTGTTGGCAGCTACGCATAATAAAACCATACATCTGATACGCTTTGGAAATGACGTGATTTATGTGTTCGTGCAAATGCAGTTCTGAGTCTAGGAGTATTCCAAGGTCACGTATAAGATTCACTTTCTCCAGTATTTTGTTATTTAGGGTGTAATTGAAATTAATAATATTTTTCTTTTTTGTAGTAGTTATAATTTTACATTTGGCAATACTTAAATACATTTTATTTCTGATGCAATAATCGCTAAATCGGTCAAGGTCGTTTTGAAGCAAGTGAGTGTCATTTGTACATCTGATTTGTTTGTAAATTTTTAGATCATCAGCGTAAAGCAGGATGTCACTGTGTAAGAAGCATTTATCAATATCATTAATGAATAAAACAAATAGCAAAGGTCCCAATATAGAGCCCTGAGCTACCCCAGACGTAGCCGTTATGGCACCAGACATATGACCGTTGATCACTACCCTCTGAGTTCTGTTGACAATATAAGAGTGAAACCATCGTAATAGGTTGCCACGTATTCCATTAAATGCTAACTTCTGCAGAAGCAGCAGATGATCCACTTTATCAAAAGCCTTGCAAAAGTCTGTGTATATAGTATCAACCTGTACGCGTTGGTCCATACTAGTAAATAAGTAGTTAGTGTACACCAAGAGGTTAGTTGTTGTCGAACGTTGTTTGACGAACCCATGCTGCTGAGGTATTATAATATTGTGTAAGTCAGCGTAAATAGCGTCATGCACTAGCCTTTCTAAGATCTTAGAAACGACAGGCAGCAGTGATATTGGACGATAGTTCGTTATATCGTCTTTTGGACCAGCTTTATGTACGGGTGTTATGTTAGCAGCTTTCCAAATATTGGGGACAACACCTTCCGATAAACACTTATTGTAAATTATAGTAAGAGGAACACTAATGCTGTTTGCTGTGAGTTTGAGAAATAGAGGTGGAATTTTGTCTGGACCTGAGCCCTTGGTTATATCTAATGATTTTAATTTTGCTATTATTTGGTAATTAGAATAACTTGGAATTGAAGTTAACAGGTTACTATTCATACTATCAGTGTGCCGAGAATTGGCATCAAAATTAGAAGCAGTACTTGCTTCATAGACAGACCCAAAATAACAACTAAAGAAATTGCAAATTGTCGAAGGGTCATCAGACTCTTTGTGATTATACTTCATAACGCGCGGGAAACCCCACTCATTATGTCTGTGCACAAACGCCCAAAAGTGTTTTAAGTCGTCACGTATACTATTTTCTACGGAGCAAATGTAATTATTAAAGCATTCTCCAGAATGCTTTTTGAAGCGTCTACGATACAGGGAAAATTGTTCGTAGTCTGCAATGTTTCCGAACTTTTTCCACTTCACCCAGGCTTTGTTTTTGTCTTTATACATGTGTATCAGAGGCTTGGTAAACCATATGGGATATTCAGTAGATTTTTGCTGTCTAAGAGGAACATTTTTGGCAACGATTTCATAAATGTGTTCGTAAAAGATATCGACTGCTTCTTCCGCAGCCAATTCACCAAGAAGTTGGCACCAATCGATGGTTTGAATGTCATCATTAATTGCTTGGTAATTAGCCTCATGATACCGATATCTCGGCGACCTAGATTTTGTCATGCCATTTAGCACTCCATTGAAAGATACTAGTGTAAAGAATGGTGGATGGTGCTCGAAATAATCTTACAACCGTAGGCCATTGCTTAGAAAAATTACTCACATATGTGTCTTAAATATTTAATTTGGTAATTTATAATGTTTTACAAAAGAAGACTGTTGAATTTTTTATGGAGGTTGGTAGTGGGTGAGTTTCGGCTTTAAAAAACTAGAATTTTATTTTATTCCGGTTTTTTATATTAAAATAACATAAATCTATAATAATTAATAATTAATTGATTTGCAAATGGCAAGTTTATTTATCTATTTTTTGTTGCCAAGCATCAAATATATTATGTTCAATGTGTAACAAAAGCAGTGATAATAATTCTGATAAAAAGTGATTGAGTTGACGTTATAAGCCACCACGCACTAAAAATATGACGTTACTAAGATAGGGTGGCCAGCATACTTACAAAATTGTTTAATTATTAAACACGATTTTAAATTAATCGGTAATGAATAAAAAAATCAAAGTATCTATTCATGTTATACAAACTTTCAAATTATATATATTTCGTCCCTGCCGGAAACTGACTACCGCTTTTGAACCATATCCCTTAGTTAAAGTAAGGTTTTTTAATAAGCAATTTCTCGTTAATGGTAAAAATATGATTAGAAAACATTTTTTTATAAAATGAAATATGAAAATATTACATTGGTATTTTATTTTATGAATATTTAGAATACATAATAATTATGCTTCAATAGTTAATCTGAGTGATATAAAAACTGTATGTATAATTTAGTTAAGATATCTGATAAAAAACATTTCTATTTAAAAGTAAAATAACTAAATCTGTGATTTGATTATTATATTATA